TTGAAGATACCGGAGTGAAGTGAGTGGTGGATGGTTAACTATAAGGAAAGATGAGTGACCGTTCGGTGACGCGTTAAAGTTCAGTGAGTAAGTGGTAACAACTTTAAAGTTGAGTGATTGTTGATTAAATTAACTCTACAGATTCAGTCTGTTAATATATACATACAATGTGAACGTAATGCCCAGTCATACTCAAAAACAAGGTAAAATCCCAGATGCCATTACAATTATTACACTACACGGCTGCAGTTTTTTTTTTGTTGACAATACTACAATATATGCACACAGATATTCACGAGAGAGGAGATAGAAGGCTTGATTTAATAATTCATAAACATATATGCACAGATGGATGGTCACAATAATAATGATAACAATACAACGCGAGAAGAAGAAAAAGAATGAGGGCAGGGGCGAAAAACTAATTACACAATGGATGAATGAAAACGTGCAATAGAGTTAAGGTTTGAGTGAATGAATAATTGTTGGTTCTACCAATTGAGTGATAATGCAATTATTGTGGGGGTTGTTGTGGAATGAAAAGGATTAAATATAAATTGCAGGATTAAATTAGAAGGAAAAGGATATAAATATTATCACGCTGCTCTGATACCAATTATTGTAATTATTCAATAATCATGCTAACAATAAGAATCACATATATTAATTGATAGTTCGAAATTCATACCTGCGAAATACATTGTTATGTATTAATATTATCGGATAGATCTTCCTCTTCTTACTCCTAAAAAATAATCGACCGTCAATGGGCAAAAAGATATGGAGAGGAGAGATGACCTAGTCATTATATAGGAAATCATAAAGTCAGCCAATTACCCACTCTAACCCTAATTAGGGTTTACTTAATTTTGGCCCACATACTTAAAATTACCAAATTTTAAATAGGGAAAATTAGGGAAAATCAGGTATTAAGTATCTCCTTTTTAAAAATCAGGTTTTCACCTCTTTTTTTTTTTTTTTTTAATTCATCAGGTTTTTTATCTTTAAAAGAAAAGATTTTTTTTATCATTTTAATTAAATAATTAACTCTTTAAAACCTAATTTTATCATTTTATCCCACACAACCTTCCCTCACTCCCACCACCGTCGCGGTGCCCGCCGCCTCCATTTCTCTCCCCCCGCTCCCCCTCCCCCTCCTTATGAAGCTGCTGCCGTTCAGGGTGGCCAGTGTGGCAACCAAAACGGTGCTAAGTTCTGGGAAGTAGTATGCGCCGAACACGGTATTGATCCCACTGGTCGGTACCAAGGGGACTCAGATCTGCAACTGGAGCGGGTCAATGTCTACTACAACGAGGCTACCTGCGGCCGGTTTGTTCCCCATGCCGTGCTCATGGATCTTGAACCTGGTGTTATGGACAGCATCAGATCTTCTGGCCGGATAACTTTGTCTTTGGACAGTCCGGTGCTAGAAACAACTGGGCTAAAGGGCATTATACTGAGGGTGCTGAGCTCATTGATTCGGTTCTTGATGTTGTTAGAAAGGAGGCTGAGAACTGTGACTGCCTCCAAGGTGAAGTTACCCAAGGTCAAGTTGATTGAGGGTTTGGGTCATTAGATTTTATGGCCAAGTGTTTGGAGGTGGTTGTGACCAAGTCTTGATTGCATTTGGTTTTGGAAAATGTCGCAGATCTGGGTTGTGTAGTTGTGTATCTGTAGTGGTATGTTTGTGTCTTGGTGGTGGATCTGTGGTGGTGATCATGTTATGATGATGGTGATCTATGTGGTGGTCGTAGTTTTTTTGTTATTGATGTGGCATGATTAACGACGGTGGGTGTCTGTGACTTAGGAATTGTAACTGTGACTCATTGAAATAGAGTTGTGACAAATAAAAGTTTTGATTTTTTTTTCAATTTGTGACCTGTGTGGGTGTCCATGACCTAAAAATTTGGACTGTGACTCGCTGAAATAGAGATGTGACCCGTAGAAGTTTTGAATTTTTTAAATCTGTGACCTATAAAAAAATTACATGTGACCTTAAAATTCTTGATTTGTGACCAACGAAATTAACTTTGACCTATAAATTTTTCATCGGTGACCTCGAAATAATCCGAGACCAATTAAATATTTAATTAATTAATAAAAAGTAGAAACCTGATTTTTACAATTTTAAAGTTTAGCACCTGATTTTTTAAAATGACAAACTAAACACCTGAGCCATAAACTTTCCCCTTTTAAATAATAAAGCCTATAAGGTGTACAACAGCCCATGTGATCACTAACATATTGGACATAATCATAATATCATTGCAAACCATACATCTAACCCCGTAAAATTTGCAATCAAATGGAAGCCCACATAATATGATTATTCTAACATGAGGATTATACATGGTCAGATGAGAAAACATAATGTTGTTTTAATTTTTGTCAAATTTGTGTGCTTAAATCCTAAGGTAACTCACGCTTACTTTTAACAATGGATTCTGTTAGACTTAACGTAATAAATAATCACATCTATGATAAATTGACACTTAATAGCGTATGATATAACTTGTTTAGCCCCCATTAAAATTATAATTTATTTTTTCCTTTCTTTTTATCAATTACACATTTTTCAATAAAATAATATTACATGTAAATTCAAAACATTTTCTTCTTTTTTTAATAACATATTTTTCAAAAAAACACTATTCCAAAAATTATAATCTCAAATAATGGGGGTCAAATGGGGGCTAAATTTTTAATCTGTAACGATTAATGATTTTAGTAACTATTGACATAACTACTTAAAACTTCAATGATCATTATTGAAACAATTTTGCTACATGTACACCAACTTTAACATAATGTTTGACATTATGGTGAGTTGGCAATTAACCTTATATTCTTTTCTTTTAATTCTCTTATTCCTTTGAATCTTTTAATTTAATTTAATTTATTGTCATTATTATTGTTTTTTGGGCTACATGAGAAGAGTGCCGATGAATACAAAAAAAAAATTATGAGGTCTTAACAAAACCCAATCCAACTAAGTAAGAAAGAAATGATGAGTTGAGTTTAGAGGACTTTCCAAAATAATCATATATCCTTTACTTATTTCCCCTATGTATTCTCACTTTTTAATGTACGGAGTATTTCAATTTTGAGCTTCAAGATCAAGAAGCCACAAAAATCCATTTCTAGTCATCTAGATTGTCCACAATCCTAAGAAACATATGATTATTTTATTTTATTATTTATTAAGGGTAGAATAGTCTTTTCAATTTTCTCTATTGAACCTATATATAGTCTCTTTATACCTAGGTTATATTATCTTTTTCTTATTTAATTGCATTATATAGAATCAATGAAACCCTAACATCCTTTTCTTTTTCTTTATTTTTTTTGGATTGTTTAACATGGTATCCGAGCTAAATTTCATGAGATCTGACATAATCTCAAACACAGCGCGCCCCTGCCTGGGGAATTCTTTTTTTTTTTTATAGAAACAAGACGATTTCGAGAGCGTTTTCATTTAGTTTTTCAATTGGTATTTCGCTAGGGTTTTCATTCAACTTCTGCAATCTGGTATTTCGTTTTCCTTTATTTTGCGATTTGAGTTTCCTTATTATTATTATTATTATTATTTTTATTATGGCTACTGAAAGAGACGATTCACTTCAGTCTGTGAGTGTGAGGTTGGATGTAAAGAATTATTCGTATTGGAGTTACGTGATGAGAAATTTTCTTAAGGGTACAAAGATGTGGGGATATGTTAGTGGAACTTATGTGAAACCTAAGGATACTGATGAGGGTTATGCTGCTT